TATATTAATTAAAAATTAATTAAAATATGTGTATATTTTAATACAAAAAATTATACATATATGTAACAGTGTTCGAGACGTACGCTGTGAAGTAAGAACACAAGTTTAAGTTAGAAAAAAAAGAGATTTAATATCACGATACACAGAATGAAGACAAAAAACAAAAAACAAAATCGCTAAATATGGAAAAGGAATAGATAATCGAATAAGCTCGAATAAGCTCGAATGTCGATTTCCGACTACATTATTGCCGAAACAATTAATCGGTCGATATTAAACAATCTCGTCGCCAAAACATGCTTCTTGATTTTTTTTTCTTGTGTTGCGAGCAGTTAGAAAGCACAACGATATATTTAAGAAATACTTAACTTTGCGATCGTGTATTTATATCTATGTTACAATACAAAAAATTAACATCACCACGTGTATCTACGTTATAACACAATGAACATCACCACTACAGAGTAACACGCACGGCATATGAATTCTACGTTAATAAGAATTATTACCGTGAAATACGTCAATATAATCCATATCTGGACGTTTATATGTTATGTTATGATACATATATTAGTGCCGTGCATTTATTCTCGCGCGTAAATAAAGTGGTTTATTAGTTATTATTCTTGACACAATGTACTCGAAAAAGTGCATTTTGCGATCGAAACTTTGCACAATTGTCATATTGTAAATAACGAATTATTAGTAAATTGTTATATAAGCAAAAAAAAATTTTTTTATACGACTTGGAAAATCAGAAAACTTGCCAATAAATTTAATCATTTTCTAATCTCTTTCTAGCACGAAAAAACTCGACTTTTTGGCTCGAAACTATTTTTATTCTTTAATTTAATCTCCTTCAAGTTTAATGCCGTCTAAATCCAATCTTCGTTCCTCGAGAATTAGATAGAAAACTTTTCGAGCATTCGATATAGATTTTTTCGAATTGAATTAAATTTGCATTTATTTGTGTTAAAATTAAGTTCGGTATATTTCGCGCAAAATAGTTCAACGCTTGAATCTTATTTGCTTATTTTTGTATTATTAATAATTAAGATTCCTTTCGTTTGCGGTCTGATCGCGCGGACGGCGCGAGAGCGCATTGAGACGAGAAAAATAAGGGAAACAGAGAAAAAAGTAGAAAACAAAAGAAAATACAGGATGAATCAGGAATAAAGTGGAATAGACCAGAATATAGTACAAGGTGTATGCCTAGAAGGTACAGAGAGAAAATGGTAGCCAATGGCTGCCCCGGCGTCGTTGCTACAGTATTGAACGTCTCCTGCATAGAGTCCACATCTCATCTCCTCCTCTCTCTCTCTCTCTCGTTTTCTCTCCTCTATATTCTCTCTTTTCTTCACTCTCGCTCCTTCTCGCTTTCGGAGCCACCCGACCTCCTGGTCGTCCTCGTCCTCGTCCTCCAACTTCTCCTTCAGCCCACGGTCGACGTTCTCTCTTTATTTTCTCTCTGTCTCATTCCTGTGTCTCCTGCTGCTTCGTCCATCTGTCTCTCTCCTTCCTTACATTCTCTTTCTATTACCTCCCTCACTTACATCTCCTTTCTCTCTCTCTCTCTCTCTCTCTTTCTCTCTCTCTCTTATATTCCTCTTGTCTTCTCGTAACCTGACGACGTCCTCCCTCCATGATCTCGTCGTAGGGTGGAGATCCTCCCTGGTCCTCCCTACCTCTTCCTCTGTGCTTCTCTTCTCTGGCTCTCATCTCACGAGGTGGAGGTGGGAGGTGGTAGAAGAGGAGGAGGAGGAGGAGGAGGAGAAGGCCTCTTGGTAACCTCTCTTCATCAGAGACGATCCGTGAGTTTGCTGCCGAGATCCGGAGTGGTGTGAGGAGGCTGCCTCTATATTCTCTCATTAATATCCGACCTTAGGAGGTCCGAAGCGGCCTGTATGACCGCGGTGGCCTCTCTGTCCAGATCTTCAGCGACAGTCTCTCTTCGAAAAGATGCGCGATTGAAACGCGCAAAACGTACAAAAAAAAAAAAAAACAAACATCATCGATCTCTCATTGAGCGCTTTGTGATCTCCCGAATACGTGTCGAACATGTTAATTTAATTACCCGCTGTCACTCGACGGCAGTGCAATTTGAGACTCGGAGTTTAACGAAATAAACAAATTGTGCGATGAATCGCGAGATGACATTGATTATTTCCGTGGGGAGGGATTTAATGACGGCGAATTGCGCCGGCAACTGATGATCGAACCGCGGATCGATGCGAGCCGGGGAGAATGATTACGGAAGAGATATAAAGAAGCGAGAGAGAGAGAGCGGAAGGGAAGAAGAGAAAAATGAAAGAAGACAGAAAGGTCAGAGAAGCGAAGTGGGATAGTTAATTGAATATTCAGGAATACGATTGATGCGCGGTGTCAGTAGCCATAGCGTAGAGTCACGGCATGCGGCGGCGTAATCGACGTATTACATCGGACTTTTACGGTCAATTATGTTAAGACCAAAATGCACTCGAACTTCAATGTAATTTTCTTCCCCTCCTCTTCCTAAAAAAAAAAATACAATCGAGATTCACGAGTTTAATGTCGAGCGCCATCTTAATATGTAAAAATTGCGGGATTGGCGATGCGTTTTCGGGGGAAGATCGCCATCCCGATGTGCATCCCCGGGTTCGAGTCGGAAACAGCTACGGCGATAGTGGCGGGGGAGGGGGTGGGTCTTTCTTTTTTTATCTTTTTTTTTTTTTTTCATAGGACGAAGTCCTCGCCCGCGCGCGCGGTCTGCAGCTGCTGGATCTTATGCTAATCCCACCCCCGGAGGCTAACCCCGGCGTGCGCATCCCATGAAAAAGTTGCTCGTTACAAAACGCTCGCCCATAAATCTCCTTCCTAAGCTTAATCTGTCCGCCACCGCCGCCGCCGCCGCTGCCGCCGCCGCCGCCGCCGCCGCTCTCCGAGCCGACATGCGTCGCGGAAAACTCCTGCAAACCCGGGCGGCAGGTGTATACGCCTCAACGTGCCCCACGGATTTTCATAATTTTTTTATCCTTCGGCGAAAATTTAAATCCTTACCGAGCAAGTTGTGTTCGCTCCCCTCCCGTGTAGAAGGTTTCTGGGGATCGCGGTTGCGAAATCGCGTCGCGTTAATTAAAAAAAAAAAATCATACACGATAATTAAAAACATGAAGCATTTTTTTGCAGTAAGTTCAACGATCTTTTTCAAGATGATATTTTTTAGTTATCTGTTGCGCAACATATTTTCCACCGTAATTTGATATCGCGCGCGCGCAGACACATCTCAGTTTAAGAACATGTGGTACTTAGCACGTAGTACGTGCGCTGGAAATTTTGAGAGGGTTAAAAAAAAAAAAAAAAAAAAAAATTACATCAGAGAAAGAGAGACGCTCCACTTACGTGGAATCCGCGTACGTTACATGCGAAGAGAATCCTAGCGTCCTCGGTAAAAAAGAAGAGAGGAGAGAGAGAGAGAGGGAGTAACATCTCGAAAGAGAGCCTTCGTGCTCTGTTCGCGAGCACAGAGTAGTTTGGACACGCATAATGAGAGCTTCGCCCCCGAAAGGTTCGTGCCGCTGTCGAGCGAGTATACCGGAATACGAGTAGGAGGGCAAAGAAAGAATTATAAGAGATGGGCAGAAGGCAACGTGTAGCGTGAGAACTCCCAGCGAGCCGGGCTCTTTCTCTCTCTCTCGTTCTTTCTCTCTTGTTCTTTCTCTCGCCGCGCTCCCGGGGTTTCCGAGATGCGCGCGTGAAATCCCAAATGTAGATATCTGTTCCGTGAGAGGCGTTCGGAAAAGGGAGCTTATATCCGCGCTCTAAGGAAGGATGTGTCGAATGAAGAGCAAGAAAGAGTGTTCCGGTCGCTCTTCTGGCCACCCTCTTCCCTTCTCGGTCTTCAGTCTTATCTTCGAGTTTCTTCCTGAATATTTACATGGGGTATCTGTGTTTCATCGCTCGATCCGAATCATTAACCCTGATTTGTCGAAGGAACGTACTCGACTTTGCTGATATAAATTTTATATAAATTTTATTTGTATACACAAGTATGTTACACATTTTATGAGTGGTCGTGTTAGCATACAATGCGAATAGAGCGTGTGAGGAGTCTATGGGCGTGGGGGCCATTATGGAGATGGATTTTCTTTCGAATAAAGCTCGCGGGACGGGCACGAGGACGTGAGAGGAGAGTCGGGAGAGAAAAGGGAATAGAGAGCTTGAAGAGCCGCCACCGGACTACGGAAGGAAAGAAGGTGGCGGCGGGGGGT